TAATAATTTAAAATTAAAAATGAATATAAATATAAAATCAAAGATAATAAAATAAATAAAAAGTAAAAATGAATAAATAAATTTATTATATAATTAATTATAAAACAACAATCAATAACAAACTAATACATAAATAACAATAAATTGATAACAAATAAATTATATTTGAAATAATGAATGATGTTTGATTTAAATTAAGAATAAAAAACATGAAAATATACCAAATGTAATGTTAATGAAAATGAAAATAAAAATGATATGAAAAAATAAGAAGAAAATAAAATAAAAGAAAGATGAATTGATTCTCATTTAGTTTTAGAATAAAAAATAATGAAATAACACTTTTCTATTATTTCATTCTATTTACAATATATGTTGATAATAACTCAAAAGTATTACCGTGAATACACCAAATGAAATAATAAATAATCAGAATGTAGCAGTTAAAACAATAAATAGAGAATATCAATTTAATATTATTCGTGAATTTGGAAAGAAATACTCTACTTTAAAATGTCCACATGCACAATTTACAGAAGCAATAAACAAATTTGTTGATGTTATTTTGAGTGATATTCAATTATCAAATGAATATTTAAATATACCAATGAGTATTATATGAGAAAATGAAGAAAGTCTAACAATTAATTATAAAGTATCAATTCAAATATTAGATAATTTAAAATTCAATGAAAAAATGAAAAACAAACTTTATATAAAAATTTAACTAAATAAAATCATAATTTCAAAAATGAATTTAAATCAGATGATAACTTAATTGAATGTTCACTATCTGTACATATAATTAATATATTGAGTATTATATCTTCTCTTCATAAAGACAAGAAATTATATGAAGAAATTATTTCAAAATGTATTGGTTTATTTGATTCTAATAATAATATGAATCATAATATAATATTGATTATAAGACTAAACAATGTTGAATATGTATGTGTTAATCAATCAACAGATGATTGAATAATAAACATACTCATGATAATAATTAGAATAATAACATTAATTTATTGATTGAAGAAATAATAATTTATTATTTAGGTTAATAAAACAAATAAAAATATGTAAATAATGAATACAAAGAATAAAATATTAATAATATCAATTAATGAATATTTGATCTTTTCATAATAATAAATTTATATAAAAGAAATAATAAATTAATAATCAAGATGAATAAAATATAAATAAGAATGAAAAATGAAAAATAAATAAAGTTAATATTGAAGAAGATATTATCATTTAATGTATTTCATAATTAATTAAATTATAATTATGTTAATCAATTTAAACAAAGAATGAAAATATTACAATAAATTAAAAATAAATAAATAATTATTTTAATTAATTATATCAGAAAATGAAATTATTAAAAGAGATAAATCATTTATTTATTGTTTTATAAAATATAAATATTTAAATGTAATTAAATAAACAAATTGATTTATTGTTATTATTTATAATTTATAATTTATTCATTATTTCATGTTTAACATATAATTTAAACTTTCATCATTAATGTTTTGTATTTTATTCTTTATTATCATTTTTATTCATAAAATTTCTTCATAATTTATTATTATATTATTTTTATTATTTATAATTTCATTTTAACATTATCAATATTTAAAATTAATTAAATATTGAAGTTATTTTGTGTGATAATAAATAAAATAATGAAAGAATAAAATTATAATTATGAAGAAATAAAATAATAAATAAATAATAGACAAATAAATGATTAAATGTAAAATATATATTTTATAATAACAATAATATCATTATAATGATTTATTTAAAATATTTAATAATATTCATTATAATTTTATATTTTTAATAGAAAATAAGATATAAAATAATGATAATAAATAAATTTAAAATAAAATAAATAAATTAAATGATAATTATTATTTATATTGATTGTATTTAATCAATTAATACAAATATGATAATTTTAATATACTTTTATTCTTTCTCTTCTTAATTTCTATGTTTTTATTTCATTTTATCTTTTATTTTCATAATATGATATTTAACTTTCATTTCATTATATCTAATTTATTTCATTAAATTATTTTGTATTAATTTCATTTATTTTATTAATTTATTCATTTTAATTCATTCATATTCTTTTTATCATTATTTAATTATTTTCTTCATAATAAATAAATAATGAAAGAACATTAAAACGAGAATTAATGATAAAACAGATAAGAGTATAAGTAAAATAAAATAATCAACATATTAATCATAAATAAAAATGATGAAATAACATATTATTATATTCATTTAAAATTATCAACAAATAAACAAAATGAAATTAATTTGATCGAAGTACTTATCAGATACAATTAATAAAATAATCAATACATTAATTGAAATAAAAAGAAATTAGAATTTGTTAAAAATAATATTATTGTTTTAATTTAAAAATGAATATTTAATTATAAAACATTTCTTACAATTTTTAACAATAACAACAAGAAATAAATAAAAAGGTGGTAAATATAAATAATTTTATTTTCTAAATATTTCTAATTTATCATTCGATAAAATAATAAATTAAATCAATGTGATAACAGGTAAGAATTAATTTATATTTAAAAATATTTGAAATAATGAATGATGTTTGATTTAAATTAAGAATAAAAAACATGAAAATATACCAAATGTAATGTTAATAAAAATAAAAATGAATGCGATAGGAAAAATAAGAAGAAAATAAAATAAAAGAAAGAGGAATTAAGTGAGGGTAATAATTTAATGATACTAAATCAAGAAATAGGGTAAATAAATGATAGGATAAATGAGTATTTAAACATAAACTAAGAAAGATATATTCATTAAAATGATCAGTTTATTACTTCTATTTATTACTTTCTCATTATCAAAACAATGTAGTGAATATACTACAAATGAAATAGATACAGTAGACAGTGCATTTGAATGTATTGAATCAATTGAAACAACAGAAAAAGAAAATAATGATATTATTACAGGATTAAAATATTATTTAGAAGCATATGTATTTAAAGATATATTAAAGAATCCACCACAACCATCATTTTCAAATAATTATTATGAAAAAGTAGATATTGATGCAGAATTAAATAAAATAAATACAAAAACAACAAGTATGTATGACTTCTATTCTCAAATTAAAAATCTCATTATTTCAACAAGAGATGGACATTTAGCTTTTAATGTAGATAAAGATCTGAATAAACCAAATTCAGAATTAACTAATTTCTTTTATTTCCTTCCATTTGAAATCAATATTGATAATGATAAGAAAATGTATTTAATTCCTAGAAAAAGTCTTGGTGGTATTCCTATTGATGTTCCAGAAATAGATGATAATCAGAACATAGCAGTTAAAACAATAAATGGAGAAGATCCATTTAATATTATTCGTGAATTTGGAAAGAAATATTTAGGACTAAAATGTCCACATGCACAATTTACAGAAGCAAGATCAGCAATTTCATTTGGGTCATTGAGTGACACACCATTAACAAAAGAATATTTAAACACACCAATAACAATTACATGGGAAAATGGAGAAAGTGTCACAATTAACTATTCTATATTCAAGCTATCAACACCTAATAAATCACTTAAAGAGTTACTTCAAGGAGAAGAAGTTAAACAAGGAATTAAACCAAAATTAACACCAGAAGAAATAAAATCAAGAAAAGAAATTGGGAAAAGAATGAAAACAAAACAAGGAATAATTGAAAGATATAAATCAGATGATAATAATGTAGGTTGTTTATTAACAGATAATAAAATTAATACATTTTTCATTGTATCATTTGACCCTAAAGATGCATATGTTAAATCATATGAAGATACTATTTCAAAATGTATTGATTTATTTGATTCTAATAAATATCCAATTCAAGTAATATTCCCAAAGAATGGAGGTGGATATGGTTATCTTTCCAGATGGGTTGAGAAAATTATATCACCATATGATGATGTAGACTTTATTGGATCATTAAGAGTATCAGATTTTACAGAAGTTATAATAAAAACAGGAATGGGTACAGGTTTGTATGACCCAGAAACATGTGAAGTAAGAGAAAAAGGAATTAATCCACAAACACTTGGAGAATGGTATACAAAACCAAAGATTATTAAATATGGTGATGTTGAACATAAAGTTTCACAACCTTCCTTAGATAAAGGAGGCATGATGAAATTAATGAAAAATCCAAGAAAACCAACAGAAATAGTAGTTTATACTGATTCATTTTGTTATTCTGCTTGTTCACTTGTTACAAAAGGATTAAAAGAATGGGGAGGAGCTATTCTTGTAGGATATGATGGTGATCCTAATGGTAAAGATGAAGAATTTGAAGTAGGATTATCACCAACTAGTGTTATTGGTTTAAATGAGATAGATAAAGATAATATATTTACACAATATGGATATGAATTAGGAATAAGTGTTACAGAAACATATAGATTTAATTATGAATATAATGAAAGTATTCCTAGAGAATTCTTAACTGATATGATAGATGAAAGAGTGAATATTTATAGTGACCCTGATATAATTGATATTTTTGAAGAAGAAACAAAGAAGATAATAGAGAAATATCAAACAAAATGTAATCCAAAGAATAAAAGATTAGTTAAAAGAGATGAAAAATGTGATAAAGAAATTAATATAGAACATGGACATGGAGGATATGAATGTGGAGATAATGGAGAATGGAGTACAAAATGTGTACTAGCTTATTGTGATGATGGATATAAATTTGATTATATCAATAATAAATGCATTGAAGATGTATGTGTTTATCCACCAACAGATGATGGAACACCAAGCATGACAGTAAACCTAGTCATGATAATAATTGGAATAATCACATTAATTCTCTAATTGAAGAAGGTTGAATTTAAAATATAATTTTGGTTTAATAAATATGAAATAAAAAAAGATAAATATAACACTCTCTTATTTTATTTGTTGTATTCATTTTAATTAAAATAAAAACGAATATTTTATAATACTTAATTGATGTCATTATAAATATAATAAGTATTAATTATTTGTTAATTATATATTCAAATTATACATTAATATAATGTATAAAAATAGTTATAATTATTCATGTTTTCATTTTCATTTATTTGGAAGTATTGAAATAAAACCATAAAATCATTAAAATAAATTCAAATTATCATTTTGATTATTATTTTTCATATTCTTCATTATAATTTATTACTTTTTCTATTTCATATATTTTATGATTAACTTTACATTCAGAACTAGTTCTTGAATTATCAATATATTTGTTATCTTCTGTAACAATAATTCATAAATATTCATTAATATCAATCTCATCAAATTGTCATTCTCTTTTCAATATTATTTTAAGTTTAAGTAAATTAATAAAATCATTTGATATTTCTTGAACTTTTTCAAATCCAATCATTTGTTTTTTATACAATTCAATTTTATTTGTTATAGTTTGTGCATCAACAATATTATTAAATGATGAATGGAGTTTATCTAATTGTTCTGAAGTAATGTTTATAGTTTTTATTGTTCTTCCAAGTGGTGTATTATTATTATATAAAGATATTTTAGATGAATTATTTTGTTTATTTGTATTATTTGTTGGATGATTATCGTTACCTCCTTGTTGTGAGTTGTTTGTTATTTTATTTTGTGTTAACATATAATCTAATATATCTTTTATTTTAAATTGTTGTATTAATGAATAAATATCAAAAATTGAAACAACAACATCTGATACATCATCCACTTTCTTTACTATAAATTTACCAACTTCAATTACTGCATCTCCCCATAACTTTTTTAGTTTATTTTTTAATTCACCTATTTCTATTTTCAATTTATCTAATAAATCTTGATTGTTATCATGTTTTAAACTCTCTGCTATTTCTTTAATCCTTTCTATTGTGAATTCAATCTATGAATATTTATTTATAAGAATCTGTGCTTCTGTATTTAATCTTTTTATAAAATTCACTAACATTTGAATCAATAAATAATGAAGTATATTTTATGTTAAGTTAATTCCAAGAATACTTTCTGTATTTGTTAAATATAAATGTATGTATTTAATTACAAATTGATTAAGCATTTTCCTATGAATTATCATTAATTTAAGTTCTTTAAATGATTTATCACTTAAAAGTTCTTCTTGTCTTGTAAGATAATAATTCACTCTATTAATAACAAAACAAAATTGTAATCTTTTCCATTCATTTAATGTTGGTTGAATCTCTCACTCAGTTTCATACAATATATCAATTAATGTTTTGAATTTATAATATAAACTTTTATATGAAGATACTAATTCATAAAGTTTTAATTCTATGATTTGATACAAACTAGTATTAATTTGTTTCATTTCTTCTATATTTTTTCAATTAATTCTTTTGTTTATATGTGTCATATGCCAGTTTGTGTATTCTAACTAAGTCTTCTGATGTTTTTGAAGACAATGACGTTTGTAAGATAATCCCACTCCATATTCTAATAACTTGATATTGTCCATAAAATGGAATTAAACTAAACCAGAATTATTAAAAACAATCTGATTTTTCTTTTTCTGTAATTTGTTTAATTATTCTTTCAACGAAATCAGGAGTAATAAACCAATATTCTGAAATTTCAATTTAAAACTTTGTTTATTTCATATAAATGATTAATGAAGAAAACAAAGTATTCTATCATTTTGGTTGAAAGTGTTTGTCTTGTTTAATGACCGTCTCTTTTTGTTCTTCTTAAAAATTTTGAAATTTTATTCATACTTTATAAAATTGAAATATATTTGTGGATAATGTCCCTTAAGAAAAGTTATTTCTAAACTTCTTTTCGTTCTTCCATGATTAGATTGTAAAGTACTTATTTAATTGTGAAATAAATTGTTGTTAAATTAACTTTATTTCATGTATTGACAAACATGTATAATAAATACATTATTAATTTTAGAATTTATTTTTATGCACTCAATTTTTATTAGATTACATAACATATTATTTAAGATAAAGTCAAATAAATAAATCGTTTTTATTGAAAATAAACCGAAATAAATTTTTTATTTAGTTGCTTTACCTCTATCATGTTATGCGATATATTTATTTATAAATCAATACAATAGAATTTAAAAATTGATTGTTATTGTATTTAAATTGTTATTAATGAAATTTAAAAATGAAATAATTTGTAAATTATATTAAACAAACAAAGTTGATATTTTAAAATCATGAAGAAGTGATTAAATTATACATTTTCATAATGTTGTCATTATGTATTTATCATATCAAACAATTATAAATAAACAATTTATAATTTATTCTTATTTATAATTTAGTAATAAAATAAAATAAAAACATTTAAGAATTGAAATAATGAAAAAATAAGAAATAACAAATGTAAAAGAGAAAAAGTAAATTAGAAATTACTTAGAGTTTCTGATAAGTGAAAGTGTTTACTTGCCAATCTTGTTGATGGACATGTAAAGTTCTTCCTTCTCTAATACATTCATCAATAATTCTATGACAAAATGCTCTTCCTTGTGGACAGTTTCTTTTATCCACTAATCCATGTTCTCCTTGAAGATTTGAACCACTGATATACCAATCACCCATACTAATAATGAATTGATGATTATAAGATTTTGTTTAAATAAAAAAAAGGGAGTAATGAAATAAAAATATGAATGATGTTTAATTATTCTAGAACACAACAATTTACAAAACAAAATAAAAATATAATGGTTAAATGTATTTTAATCGTTTTGTATCAATTTTAATGTTATGTTATAAATAAATAATAATTTCATTTTTACCATTTGAAATAAGATGTATTTAAACAATAATGTAAAAGTAAAATGTAATTTTAATTTGATGTTAAAAATAACATCAAAAAAGTAGATAATTAAGTATTAATAGAAATATCTTCTATTGTTCCTTGCTCAGGGGAGATTAACTAATCCATTTGCTTTAAATGTATTTGTTCTTCAACTATTAGCTTATTCTTTGCTTCTAGTTGTTGAACTGTGAGATTTTCCTTTTCTTGTTTTGATGTTGAATAGAGTATTTTAAACATCAATTATTTAAATATTCATTATTTGATTTCTTTTTAATTTTGATGGGTTTGAATTTCTTCTTTATTTTCTTATTTTAAGGAGAATATATAATTACTACTGTATTACTATGAGTTAATATTCTTTTTAGAATCAACCACTAAACCCTTTTTCTTTGATAATCTTATATTATCATTTATACATGTATATTCTAACAAGTAATAATAACATCTTTATAAATACCCATTCGTTTATTATCAATGATATCACATCATTGTACATAATAAACACTGTTATTCTTGCAGTATTGATTAAGATGTTTTTCTAACTAAACATAACGCCATAACCAGTCCATAACTGGTGTATTTGAATGATGGAAATATTTTAGGGTTCTGTGTGGTGTCTCTGACGTGCTACCTTCGAATCAAAATAACACCAAAAAAAAACAAATAAAAATAAAAAGCCCCTTTTTAAATTAATACAAAGAACAAATTAATTCAATTTGATCCTTCTAACTTGTTTTATTTTTAAAAAAAAAATGTATGTTTCCATATTAAAAATTAAATTCCGGATTCCAATTTATTCTAAAAATAAATGATGGGTTAGGTTTAAAATCAATATAAAAAGAAATTTTCTACACTCAAAAACAGTATTAGATTTAAATGACTATATCATTACTATTCATGATTATTTTTGTTGTATATTCACGTCCTATAAAACCACCATCTTTAGGTGATGGATTTATTAAAGTAGATAATCATTATGAATTTGGAATTAACAATCATTTAAAAGGTAATAATGGTGAAACAGAATTACAATATTCTGCTGATATAAAACCAAATGTTCATTCATTTGATTTTGATGAATCAATTGAAAGTGTTGAATGTCAAGGAGATGATTTGATAGTTTCAACAAACAATAAATATATTGAAACATGGGGTGATAACTCACTTGTTACAGGGTCTAATGAAATGTGGAAAACTTCATGTTCATTAAATAGAAGAGTATTAGATATTGAACTAATCTATGAAAAAGAAGGATTATATTATTATCTACTTACAACAGAGAAAGCATCATTTAATGAGTATTTCAATCAATTAAAAGTTATTTACACTCCAAATAATAATGATATATATAATAAAGAAAATAAAACAAAAGGATTTAGAAATGTGATTTTTAAAGAAGAAATTAATGTAGATCCATCAACAGTTAAAATAACATCAATACCAACAGAAATATTACAACCAAGTGATTATATAGAAACAAAAGGATCATCAAAAATATTACCATTTAGTATTGAAGCACCAGTTGGTACTGTAAATGTTGCACGTGATGATGAATATTGTATAAGTTACAGACTTCTTAAAGGAAATGAAGACATTCAAGGAGAAATAATATTTGATGTTTATCCTAATAATAAAGCAACAAAAGGTTCATGGATAACTAAGGTAATAAATTTTGTTATCAATTTATTTGAAAAGGTTAAATCATATCCAGTGAAAGATACCAAATATTCAAGTGATGAAGTATATACTCATTGTATTGAAATAGATAAATCATATAAAGAAGATAAAAGTTATTTAGTTAAAATGAAGATGGAAGGATACGAAGAAGTTGAAGGACCTATGTTTTATGTAGAGAAAGATGAACCTCTTTTTATAATAACACCAGTGGAAGGAGAATTTATAGATTATACAAAAACAAAAGAGATTTTAGTTCAATGGGAATATACAAGTAAATTTAAATATTCAAATAACGTTAAAATGCAATTAAAAAAGAGTAGATTAGGATATGATCAAAGTGTTGGAAAAAGTCAACGTATAAATAATTTTAATAAGAAAGAACAAAAGTTTATATTAAATGATAAAATGAATATTAAAAGTGGGTCAGCTTATTATATTGAATTAAGATATCATTGTTGGAAAGTTCCAATTATTGGTGATTGGTGTTCAACAAAAAGATCAAATATATTTACAATTAGTAATGGAGAAGTTAAAGGAGAAATAGAAATTAAAACACCAATATTAGGACAAACATTTAAAACAGGAGAAGAAATCGTAGTAACATGGGATTATTCAGGGGATAAAAGTAATATAGAATTAAATGTAAAATTAAAAAGAAATAGATTGAGTAGTATTTATAATATGAAAAAGGTTAAAGCAAGTGATAAACAAGTAAAACTACCAGTACCAAAAGCAAAAGATAATACAAATTATTTTATTGAAATTGAATACTTAAATGGAGACAAAAAACAATATTCATACTCAGATTTCTTTTGTATTAATCATGAAAAAATGATTGAATTTGATGATATTAAATATGATAATGATAATAAACAACTATCATTTAAAATTAAAACATTAAAACACCAAAAATTAGATAAATCATACATTACAATTGAACAAGATTTTCCAATATTGTTATGGAATAATAAACCGTTAAATAATAAAAGATATGATATCAAATCTATGAAAATAACTAATCAAAAAGATTATTATGAATATTCAATTGTTATTGATGATTTTACTGATAATTCAATGTTCTATGTATATTTAAGATATAATTATAAATGTAAAATTGGTGCTTATCGCTGTCATTCTGAATATTCAAAAAAATTTTCAATTCCATATAATAAAAATATTGGATGGAATATTGAAGAAGATGGTAGTGTAGAGGAAAAACAAAAAGATATAATGAATTTAGATTGTTCAACATGTTCTACAACTAATAACACATTAATAACAAAACATTATGTAGTTTATGTGATACATTGAAAAATGATAATATAACAACTGATATTAAATTAAAAACAACATGTGAAAATTGTTATGTAATTAATAATTTTAAAATTGGACCAATTGAACTTGATATTGGATTTACTGGAGTGTATAAATTTGATGCAAAGATACTTGGACATTTTGATTTAAATTTAGATTTTAAGAATGAGTTGAATGGTACAATGAATTTTGAAAATTATACAGAAATTATACATAAATCATTAAAAGATGTTTTAAACGTTACACTTGGTATAGTTCCATTTGGATTTGATGTATTTCTTGATTTTGGAGTTAAACTTGATTTAGGATTAACAGGAACAGCTATTGTTGAAACCAAGTTCAAAAAAGAATTTGATTATACATTATATATTTCATATCCAAATGCAAATATTAATGAAGGTACTTATATTTGTGATTATGCACAAATAAAGATAGATGATAAAAAAGATTATAAATTATTTAAACCAACAATAAATATAAATGGAGAATTAGACATAACAATTACACCAGATGTTAGAATAACATTTTCAACACAAGCATTTGATGGATATGCAAAATTAGAATTTCCACTTGTAAACCAAGTGAGATATGATCAAACAGGATTTGCAGGAACATATGATAAAAATGTAGCTAAAATTGTTTATGGATTAGAAGAAGATCATCATTTTGAATATACACTTGATATTTATGGAGAAATTAATTTAGGATATAAAATAAAATTAGCAATTTATAAGAAAGAAAATGAAAAACCATTTAATTTATTTGAACCAATCAAAATGGTGAAAATTGGATTTTATAGTGTTGAAAAAGAAAAAGAAATAAGAAAAATACCAATAAAAATAACATCAGAAATGATAAGTGATTATGAAGATAATTCTGAAGGAATCATTAAATTAGTAGTAAGTGATATTATAAAATATATTGAAGAAGAATTTAGAATAACAATAGAAAATAAAGAATATTTTATCAATGATACAAGTGAAACAATTATAACAGAAAATAAACAATATGGAATAATTGATATAGAAATTAAAAATGAAGGAATTAGTATAGAAGATATAAGTCAAATATGTGATGTATTAAAAGAAAAAAATCAAATTGAATCAAAATATGTATATCTTAAAGAATATAGTAAATACATTGATGGATGTGGGAATATTACAATTGAAAATGATAAAAGTGAAGAAACAATAATTTCAAAATGTGAAAAATATGAACATTGTTCAATGTGTTCAAAATCAGAATGTTTTAAATGTGAAAAAGGATATGGATTAAATGAAGAAGGAAAATGTACAAATGTAGAATGTAAGAATTTTAAAGGATGTTCGAAATGTACAGTAACTAAATGTTTAGAATGTTCTAATGGGAAAGATGTATTTAATGATAAATGTATGATAGAAGAATGTTTGGAATTTGAAGGATGTTTAGAATGTACAAGAAGAGAATGTACTAAATGTAATAAAGGATATGAATTAGAACATGGAGAATGTAAAAGAAAAAGTTGTTCAAAATTTGCAAAATGTGAATTTTGTAATAATGAAGAATGTCTTGAATGTAAAAAAGGAATAGAACTTATTGATGGAGCATGTAAAATGGAAGAATGTAATAATTTTGAATATTGTTCAGAATGTACAGATAAAAAATGTATTAAATGTAAAGAAACATATAAAATAAATAATAAAGGAATTTGTGAATTAAATAAATGTTCAGAAATAATGAATTGTAATATATGTGAAGAAGGAAAATGTCTTGAATGTTTAGATAAATTACCAATGATTAATGATATATGTTATCCATCAACATGTTCTAGTTTCAATAAATGTTTTAGATGTGATAATAAAAAATGTATTCAATGTGTTGATGGAACAATAACAACAGATGGAACATGTCAACAAGCAGAAAATAATAAAGAAAATATATATTGTTTATTACCAAATTATTTATTTGAACAAAAAGAACTTGGAAAGTGTACTAATAAATTCTGATCAATCATCAGATATGGTTGTTTATGATGGAACAAAATATTTAAATTTACTATTATCCAACATCACCTGATTGTGGAATAAATGGAGATACATATTCAATTATAACAGAAA